ATACACACTAATTCAACACTAGTTTCCTCCTGATCCTGCCTCCATTTAATGATAGTAATAAAAGTGTGCCACATTCTTGTACGCATGCAGGTGAGTTCAGGACTGAGACCAGTTCACACTGGAATCTGATATTGGACAATAATGAAAGTGACAACCAAAAAAAATAAAAAATCTGAGCAATTAAATCCGAATTGAGCTCTAAGGCTTGCAGTGAAAGTGGCATTGATCTTCTAATTCTCTGCAGTTAAGAAAAAAGCCTGCTTCCCAATGTTGAACTACTCTTTGAGCAATGTTACATCTGACCCATAATAACTACATAGTAGTTACTGTTCGCAGTTTGTTTCCTAGAATGGAGTTGCACAACACAGAACTGTTATCCTGGATGTTTGGCTGTGGTGCTACAGGAACAAGCCTGCAGCATAAAATGTTTCATATATGAGTACATTTCAAATCTCTTCTTTAATTTAAGATGATAAAAGAAAAGGGAGTGTGTTAAGTATTAAAAAGGTCGTGCATAGACAATACCTGCCCTTGTGGACCAAATTTAGATTACCGTGACAGTGAAAAGTGCCTTTAATCCATGTCACAACTTCAAAACATATATGTTGTACATGTTACTTTTAGCAACGTAACAAATGTTAATGTAATAAGTACTAGTCAATAGTGATGTCAGCTTCTACTAGATATATTAACTACCTTGCATATTAGATGTGCCTGCAAAGGCACATGATAACTAACCAGAAAAGTTAGCTTTCAAGCTTATATTCATATTGTATTTATATATTAATCAGTATATCAGTGGCCAGATGATAAGCTGCCAAACACAACTCAGACGTGACATTAATCACATCTGTTCAGTTCTGGTTTTGAAAGCTCAGTTTCGTGTTCAGCCTAAGTACTTTCAGTATGGCAACCAGAGAGTCAGACTGTTAACCAAACAACTCTCCTAAATAAAGATGAACTGCTTCAACAAAGCACTGCATCACTTTTGATTAAAAATACACCAATTTTCTATCACTACAACTTGTCAAGGCCCCCAACCCACTGTAAACACTGATGTCTGCTGTGCAGGTGGACGGGGAGGAAAGGGAGTACAGCGAAGATGGCTGTGTGAAGGAGCCTTCCGGGCTCCCCTCGGCTGTGGCTGTCCCAGAGTCAGCCCTAAAGATAAGCCACACCTCGCCTGACATCCCACTGGAGACCCAGACCAAGGTGGAGAAAAACCAGGTCCACACTCTGGCCAGGGACAGGGTCCAGAGACAGATTACTGAGCCTACCTCATCTGTACGGTCAGTACACATCAATCCCCGAAGCTACTGTCCAACTTTTGGTGTTGGCAGGTTAAACATAGATGGACACACACAGTTAGACACCTAGACCTCATGGCTCAGAGATACTCTATCACAATGTTGACTGCATATAAAACATCAGGGTTAAGGGAACACAGTAGCTCTAGCAGTTGCCTTACAGCAACAAAGACAAAGAATATGTGCTCAATGAAAGTGGTTTGAATGATCTTATATAGCCACATTTTACACTTTGTTACAGGCACAACTCCATCCGTCGTCAGATGAACTTGTCCAATCCGGACTTCAACCCTGCTCAGTTCCAGCGTCAGGAGTCTCTGTCTGGTTTGGGCCGAATCAAACCAGAACTCTACAAGCAGCGCTCTGTGGACGCAGAAGATGCTCGTCGCACCGATAGCTGCGGGCGTCTCCACTTTGTCCTGAAGTTTGACTTTGACCTTGAGCAGCTGATTGTGAAGATCCACAAAGCCCAGGACCTTCCTGCCAAGGACTTCTCAGGGACCTCCGATCCTTATGTCAAGATCTACCTGCTACCTGACCGCAAAACCAAGCACCAGACCAAGGTGCACCGCAAGACACTCAACCCTGTGTTTGATGAGGTGTTCCTCTTCCCTGTGGCGTACACCGAGCTGTCGAGCCGTAAGCTACACTTCAGTGTCTATGACTTTGACAGGTTCTCTCGCCATGATTTGATTGGCCAAGTGGTGGTGGACAACTTCTTGGATCTTGCCGACTTTCCTCGGGAGACTAAACTGTGCCGGGACATACAATATGTGACCTCGGTGAGATACCAACTTTTATTCATCTTTTAAAATTCTATCACTATCTGACTTTGTCTTCTTCTTTTCACCACTGAAATTACATTTCTTAGTATAGCTTTGCATTTGTTAGTCAGTACCATGGTAGGTTGTTCATAGCGACCAACTGACCAGAATGTTGCAGCATGTTTGTGGTTGGATACATTTGAAGGTCTGTCAGACCAGTAGTATCCATACCAGCCTAAATCCCATGTATTTTCCTCAGCCTGGCCAGAATCTGCTTGAACAATCAAAAAAGAGCAAAAAACCCTGTTACAACAGCAGAGGGAAGGAGATATGTTAATGGACGTATCTCATTTTCCCTCCAAGTGGAACTCATCTGTGGTTTCAAGAGACAGATACATAGAAATATACTTAGACACACTTAATGTTTAATGAAAGCAGTGGGAAACACTTGGGGGTAGTGACCCAGATCTACAGTGACATAAGACTGGGGTTGATTTGACAGAGATACAGTGGCACTGTCTATATTACATTATTCACTCAGATAAATCGACAGCGTTGGTACACTGAGTAACTCAGGAAGGAAGTCAGATCCTGCTGCCAGGGAATTCCTCATGGCTCGCCTGTCTTGTTGAGTGAGGATTGCTGTCTGGTTTATGGGCAAACAGTGTAAGTGGACAGTATACAGTGCTTCTCATCATCATCTCATAGGCTATAATCAGTTAATGGAATGAAAATAGGTAAACAAATGACACTATATTTAAAATCTATAGTTTATGGGTGCTATGTGCAAGATTTCACCCTTAATACATAACTAATATCAACATTTTCAGCTATAAAACAGGACTAGACTGGGATAAAAACCTAGGCTAGGATTAACGGAAACTACTCTGTACATTCGGACCAGAGAATTCACAGCCTTTTATAAAGCTTGCACTGAAATAGAACATAATTAGATGTCATCAGCAGTGTACTGCTTTGTGGAATGCAGTTACACAGTGTATGCACACCTCTGGGCAGGGGTATTTACCTACCTAAAAATAGCTAGAGATATCAATCAGAGGTAGAAATCCCAAATCCCTTCGCTGATTAAATCCCCTTCAGTCTGCTAGTCCAAGCTGTCATGTTTAGTTCAGTACATAACTAGCATAAGCACTGAACCACGATCCTGAAGTATGTTTTTACGCTTCAGGTCTGTCGTACGGCTATACTGCAGTCCATGCTCTTGTTTTTTAAATGCATAATGAGTACGATTTGTCAGTTGCTTTTTGTAAACACATGATTCAAAGTTTCCAGTGCAACAAGTGAGAGAGAGAGAGAGAGAGAGAGAGAGTGAGAGCCAGAGCAGCGGTAGTCGATTAAGCTAGAGAGGGAGTGGTGTTACAAAACAAGGCAGTGAATCAGAAATATAAAACTAGTGTTTGATTGTTTGATGGTGGTTACATTCTAAGCACAAATAAACATGGCTGCACCTCCGCACAACCCTGTGGGTAAGTGCCACATTGCTGGATTTAGTATCAATGCAGCTGAAGCGCATACAGACACACAGACCTGGAAGGACCAGCAACTGAGTGTAGCAGGAAATAGAATGAGACAGCATTGTAACTTGCTACGTTTTTACAGACGTCCAACTTCACACCCTGCACACTGCCCAAAGGTTGATGCCCACAAACCTCCTCCACAAAACACAGCAAAAATAATAAGAAAATAGAGGCAAAGGGCAGGGTCTCTGCAGATACAGACACTGCAAATTTTAGCAAATTTTCAGTGTTTTTGTATACACACCTACTAAGATACCCCTACCAAATCCAAGCATTGCTCCATTGTGTAGAGGGCAAATTTGAAAACTTCAGTAGTGATACTCTGAATAAGTTTGGCAGAAATCATAACAAATGTTCACAATAACCTGTAATCAAGTCCATAATCAAATTTGTGGAGTTAAGCAGTTATGCAAATAACAGCAGAGAGCTGATAGTTCTGCTTCAAATAGATTTACCACAATAAAAACACCAGCTCATCAGTAGAGAGCTTCATATTCACTTCTGTGTCTATTTAGCAATTTTGAGGTGTATATTTTGTACCTGTCATTTCCTCAGAGCTCCTGGCTCTCTGGGAGAAATAAGAACTTTTTCCACCTTGTGTCTACGTATTTGTGCAATTATGTGTTATTTTGTGCTAGTAATGTAATAGATATTTTATTAAGTAATTATTACAAAATGTACTGAACATAATATGACTTTTTGAAAGAACAGATGCTCAAGTCAGGCAGACAACAGATTTAAGGTTCAATGGAATTTTGTGGCTGTAAACGATTAACATAAAGAAACAAAGCCAACCCTCTTGACTTGAATTTAATCATTTTCGTCTTTTGTGCTTTTTCTTTGTTGTACTACTTGGACGGAGGAATGAAAACACCTATATTTGTCTTTGTAAAAGGATTCTGGCCTCAGTGCAGGCTGTATACGCTGTAGATTTTTCATTTCAGTTGTAGTGATTGTGACTTGTTGTGGAGGTTGCATGTGCATTTAAATCTATAGGTAGAGTCTATAGGCTATATGTAAAATAGGCCAGTTTGATTTTACATTTACAGTACTAGAGTTAAGCTATATTTAGGGTATGCATTGTGACTTCATGGATCCTTTCTACCGAATCAAACTACCCATAGTGGCCCAAAAATAAGGCAGTGTTTATTTTAGCCATGCTAGCAATGTGGCTCTAGAGATGGCAAGTCACTCACTTAGGTCTACGCTGGATGCATTGCCATGATATTTGGTACATATATTCTTGGTCCCCAGAGGATGAATCATATTGACTTTCTTCATCTCCTATCTCCACCAGCAAGTTGACATTTTTTCTTTTAAGTAAAGTCTCTCAAAATTATAGGACAGCAACACTCTAATGTGATCATAAGTTATTTTAACTCAAATAAATTGCTGAAACGGATTACATACAAAATTTTAAGTAACACAAACTCAAAATACCTGTAAAACTAATGACAATTCCATCAGCCTCAATGGTACTTTGTGTGTAATACTAATAAGCACAGGTCAGTGGAAGGGCTAAGTGAAGATGGTGACCATGTTTATAATTGTAAGCATGTTTGCATGCTGATATTAGCATTTAGCAGTCACATTCACAGCATATCATTTAGATCAGAGTAGAAGCAAAGTAATAAAAAACAACAACTTGAAATTGTGAGTCAGATATATTTTTGACAGCTACAATAGCTCCCGCTTGGTGAAACTACAACAAACTGGCAGCAAAGTGGCTGCAAACTTACAATTACTGGTAGCTACATCTAAATAAAATCAAATACTACCAATAATATAGGCCGTTATATGCTAAGAGTATGAGGCTAGCAGTAGGAAATGTAGCACTAGTCCTCTTTCTTCTCTTAAAATTACATTTTAAAAGGCTTGGATTTAATTTGATTATAAGACTGCATTTTTGTGTGTGTTTACTTTAGATCCCAGAGGATAAAGTTTTAAAGCTTATTTTGCTTCACTTTTATGTCCAATTGTTCGTATTTTTCTATCGGCACAGGGTTTGTAAAGGGTTAATGCATTTCTGGATATTTACTGTGAGTCAGTTCAGATACTGTTGCTTCAATAATAACCAATAAAAGCTGGTACTACTACTGGAGGGTTAATGTGCTACTATAACAGAAACTGTCATCAGCTCCCACTGGTATTAACATGTACTGTGAATTAGGTGTAGCTACTGTATATCAGTTGTGCCTTTACAATATAAAGCTCGCTATAGCAGTTGGACATGAATCAATGCATCCTATGAAACATATATTATCATTTGTATGAGGTTATGTCACTTGCTTTTTGCTATGAAACCCATGAAAATCAAAAGACTAGAAATAAGGCATTTTAAAAAGAGTGTTTCAGGGACCTACCCTGGTGTCTGTTGTGTGGCTACTACTCAGCCTGATTTATTTATTTGAAGACTTTGAAACTTACACTGACAACACAGCTGCTCCTCATCAAGTAAATAAGTTCAAAGCCAGAAATGATAGTTAGCTGGATCAGCCAGTTCAGACCTGTTATTGCATCGCTAACTACAGTCATGCAATGATCCGGTGGGATAATGCTCCAAACACACACACGCACACACACACACACACACACACACACCTAATCTAAAATATTGTTTTAACACCTTCCAATAGCATTCCCAGCTAAATAAGGTCAGTATAAATGGGTTAGAACCTCCTCTGAGGCATCCAATTTGTGAACTATAGCTGTCCTGTTTCCTGTGTCCAAGCCTTAGGACTCCACTTTCTAAATATAATCCCTTATTAATCATCAATTTGCCCAACACACTACATACTACATACTATTTTAATCTTGAGCAACTATTGGATACTTCCAAAGAAAGAAGGTTTCAAATTCATGTAAAAAGGCATTTTCATTTACACCTTTTACTTTCCTTTACAACTACAAAAGTGTTATTTTCTGCTATTTGTAACAGATTATGTTTATTATGAAGTTGAACATGTTAAAACCATAGTTTGTACAGTTGTTAACATTTATCCAATTCATTGTCATTTATTCCAGGTTAGCAATCCATAAAGGAGGGTTACAGGCGTAACCATAGTTCTCCGAGTAGAGAGAACAGTCATTATTTAATTCTTCTCCCACAAGGATAGGGTTAGCTCAGACACACACACACTCACACACAGTCATGTTGTTGGTTAAACATTATTAAATTGTGGCCAAACCTTCCAATCTTCATTCCTGGGTCCTCAAATTCCACTCAGTCTTTCAGCCAGATACAATTACTTTTACTGGGAATATATCAAATAATAGTATGATAAATTGTTTGATGAGGCCATTTACGTGAAGTAATAATTACATAATGCTTAAACTTAGAGAAAATGGAGAGACATGGTTGGTGTCCATAGGTTCTTTCTATGAGAGAATAAATGCAAAACCCCAAATAGAAAATCGGGGGGTTCCCTGGTAGCTCACCTGGTGGACGCTTCATCCCATTGCTACCAAAGGCTGAGTCCT